CCAAGGAGAAACTCAGAAAGAAGAAAATAGAACCTAATGAATATGGGTATTATATGAGGGAAGCAGTGCTATAGAAGGGCCTTTCTGGATGGCTACAAGATAGCACAGGGGCCTTTGAAGTAAGGTGATATCTAAAGGAGATTTCAGTCCAGGCTCTGCAGCTCACTAGCTGTTGACCTTGGGCAAGTGGCTTAACCTCTTTGTGCCTTAATTTTCTCATCTACAAAATGCAAATAAAAATAGTACTTGCTAAAAAAAAATAAATTAAAAAAAAATTTGTTTGCTGTGGGATATGTGATATAAGCCCTCTTCTCTGTCTCTCCTTTGATATCTCTAGGAAATTCTGTTATTTCTCACTATTGCTTTTGTATGAGTATATTCTTTGGAAGACCTGGAAGCATAGGACCAATCATAGGCAATTGATATCTAATTTACACCCATAACACAAAATTTGTATTCTTATGTGAAAAGAAATGAAATTTTCAAAGACTGCCAGTCTATCAAAAGAAAACAAAACAAAACAAAGCATGAATGAAGTTCAAGAATATTGCTGTCTAGGAAATCTAGTTTGGGGAATCCATTGTGAACTTTCAGGTATTTATTCACCTTAAGACTAGGAAAGATTAGAGTACACCAAGAACAAAACCTCCCTCCTATTTTACGACTTGGGGACAGAAGACCCAAATCACCTACCACCACACATCTTCCTGTCTAAATTAACATGAGCTTATTTCACAGTCTTTGTTAGTACAGTTTTACTCTTCCAGGAGACTCTTGAACAGGCAAACACTTCATGGTTCATTACAGAAACTTCTCAAAAAACCATCATTTTCTTCAATAGGAAGCACCAACAGATAGTTTATTCCCTTAGACTCTTTGAAACACAAAATCCTTACATTGCCATTTCCATCGGTCCTACTCTGTTAAATCACAATCCTTACCCAATTCTAACCAAGCTCACACATTGAAAAACCTGCCTTAAGCCAAATTTCTAATTCTTAATAAAATTCATCTTTACCTTTTCCCCTACAAGGCACTATCGAAGCTCTATTGAGGGAATGTCCTCTCTTCTCTCTTTAAGCTATAAGCAGTGTGTCTTATCCACAGGCTGTATTGGTGATATTTGATAAGCTGGCATTTAACAGCATCATTGCTATAATATGAGAACAGAGCACTGGTGTATCACAGGGTTGTGGCATGAAAAAGATGGCACCCTGAAGTGAGTAATTTGAGGAGAATTTAGTAAAAACAGTTTTACAAAGTGTGGGCAGGATTTAAGGAAATCAGGTGTGATGGAGTGGGATTAAATCCACACAAGACTAAAAGGATAAGGGGTGGGAACAGGTATCATTTACCAGAACACAAAGCCACAGAAGGCAGTGTGGAGAGGGCCACTTTATAGGAGTATGGCTTTTGGGACACAGCCAGTCCTTGGCATACCAGAGGGAGCGATCTGGGGCCATAATACCAGGACCTCACTCTCCTTACTCTCTCCAGACCCCTCCTGATCTTCCTCACTGATCAAACCCAAGAGGAAACCTTAAGGCAAAGTAGCCCCTTGATATAGTCCAAAGAGCTGAGACTCTTGAGGCAGAGAAAAAGGTGGAAAATGATAGAAAAGGAATCTAGAGGGGCAAGTGGAAGCTTTTGTCAGAAATGGTTTTAAGATAGAGGAATAAGCACAAACCACAGTATCCCATTTTGATAGAAATGCTAGAAAACATACATGAGGGTATATTGCAGGTTCTTTTATTTTATGAACACTGTGATAAGTTCAATTACACATATTTAGAAGCAGGAGTTGCAGCTGAGTTTTTATGTACACTAAAGGAAAGAGGCATTTCAAAGTCCAGTGAAATATCAGAAGGAGATAGAGGGTGTGTGTGTGTGTGTGTGTAGTGCAGTGTGTAGTGTTGTGTGTGTTTTAAAATCTATGGATGTGTTTGAAAACTAGAAGGAAATTGTCATTACACCAGAAACTGGAAAATACCTGAAATTCAAAATCAACCTGTAAACCATGGAGTGAAATCACAACAGAGAATATATGTGAGAATGTTTTGATGCAGTACAGTGGGAGAATCACCAAGAATGGTTTGGGCGCAAAGAGCAAGAAGCTGGAGCTAGAGAGGCCCCAGGTGCAGATAAGAGGGTGATTAATTGGAGCATCATGGCAGAAAGAATGTTAGTTTGACGTCTGCACATTCTTCCCTTTGGGTTCTACTATGGGTCAAGTAGCAGCAAAGACTGTACCCGTCTCTAGCCCAGAACAAATGAGTGTGTGAGAAAGTCAGAGACTGAGAACAGAAGACACCCAGATAGGATATGAAATATCCTGTGCCAGAGCTAAGTTGTCTATTGACCCAGCTATCCCACTGCTGGGAATATACCCAGAGGAACCTGAAGCATTCTTATTTGCACTGAATATAGCAAAAAACATCGCGGTGCTTCACTACCTGCCCACGTAGGTCACTTAATTGGAGGCTGCCATCGGGCGAATACGGAATGAACTAAAGAATGAGCAGCCAGTCAAAAATCACAAGGCATTTTGGAAAAAACAACACCACAAAACAGAGACAACAAGGTCAGCAAATGTGAAATGTGTATTTGAGGAAACAGTTGACAGATCAATTAGATTAAACTTTATATAATATACTTCAATGTTCTCAAGGTTATAAAAATAAGAAAAATCCAATAAAAAAGAAACACTTACAGATTTTTGAAATTAAACATAGAGTTGTTGACATAGAACAGTTTGAAAAAATAGGCTGAAGAACAGGAAGAACTTAGGCGAGGGGTGAATTGCTGGGCTGAAAGATAGAGCTAAAGGGTTCTCTCAGAATGTGGCACGAAGAGATGCAGAGATGCAAAGTACAGAGGGAAAGTTAAGACATATGTAGGAAAGAGCCAAAAGCTTAAATGTCTGTCTAAAAGGGGTGCCAGCAGAGGCCAAAAGAGAGGAGAAAGTAAGGCCACATATTAGAAAAAATAATATCTAAGGATTTATGACAGTTGAAGAAGGATATGAATCATCAGCTAGTGATATCCCATGGGATGCAAAACAGGAATAAATGTTTAAAATATATACACTAAGTAGAAAAATTTTAGGAAACCAAGGATGGGGAGAAAACCCTAAGAGCTACCAGAGACAAAATTGGATTAATGAAAAAAGCTGTGAGAATCAGATTGTTTTGACTTCTCATCAGCACCACTGGCTACAGGAAAGTAATGAACTAGTTTCTTCAATAATTTTAACCTATAATTCTATAACAAATAATGCCAAACTGTTATTCACAGTTAAGAGGGAATTGTACACATTTTTAGATATGTAAGAACTCAGTTTACCTCCCACAGATCTCTCTGAAAAAATTATTAGAAGATTACTGTAGTAGGAAGAAAAACGAATTCTGTTAGAAGTAATTGGTACAAAAAGCAATGATTAGGAAAAATTAATGAAATACATTAAGTATTATTGAAGTTTTTGAAAAACAGGAACAAAATTCTAGAATATATAAATGTAGCAGTTGATAAGGGTCAGGGGTATAGGAGTAGAAGGAAACAAATATTAAAACAAAAGGTGAAGAAGTGGGATTCTTTTACTGGACGTTTAATATAAGATGTGTATTCTGCAGAGAGGTATTTCAAGGGCATATGAACAGTAAAAGTATATACATATTTTTTAAAAAACCCTATGCGGTAGTATATTTGAAAATAAAAATTTAAAATTCCAGATCCTGAGTCCTTGCTGCCAAATAGGAACAAGCAACTGGAAGGATTAGACATTGATCAAAGGACAAGAATGAAAATTATCAGGACAAAATGGAGCATTTGAATTGGATTCTTCACTCTTCACATGAATGTAAGAATGCTGTAGTGGCTACAATATAAGGCCATGTTTAATTATTTAAGTTACTTATAATCTTTGCCCACACATTTACAGCTACATTCAATCCCTAAACTGTGCCAACTCTCTCACTCTGGAAAAATTATACCACTGCCTTTGTGAATTGTATTTGTGTCATTCCATCAGCTTGTTTAGGACACAGCCTAGGACACTCAATATTGTCTTTTCATAAAGACATCATTCTCTGCATTATGACACTGTCCTTCTTTTCTTTTTTAAAAATAAATTTTGCTCAGATTTCAGTATCAGTTTTTTCCTGAACAACTGGTTTGTTTTCATAAGTAATATTCAAACAGCAAATGTCTATTAGTTGGGTAAGCATCTTTTAATAATCTTAGCTGTTAGAGTTTTATAGCCAGGTTAGCAGTGGCATGTACTAAGTGTACTAATCCCCCTCTATTTTTTTTTTAACCTGTATTTTCCCTTCAGTTGGATTTTTTCAGTGATGACCCATCATCCATTCTCAGTTGCAATGGATTGTAGGACAGAGGTACAATGCTGGTTTAACAACACTCTCAATAGCAAAAGAAACACTCCCTCTATTTTTTTTTTAACCTGTATTTTCCCTTCAGTTGGATTTTTTCAGTGATGACCCATCATCCATTCTCAGTTGCCATGGATTGTAGGACAGAGGTACAATGCTGGTTTAACAACACTCTCAATAGCAAAAGAAACACTATCTCAATAAAGTACACATCCATTTAAAGGCACTTTCTCATTTCAGAAATGTTAAGATGAGAAGAAACATTGTTGCTTATAATCAAACATATTTATATTATCCTTTCACATTATACATATTTTTGTAAACCAACTCAACTTCTTTGAAGTAGGACACAAATTTAATTCAATAAAGAATGCTATCATTAGTTATTCTAATATCTGAAGAGAAAAGCAGCCTTAGCAGGCAGTTGTGTGTTTTGTAGAAGGTAATTTACCCAATAGGAATTCCTCAGTGGATAATAAAGAGTAGATAATTTCATATAATAGCTTGTCATTACCACATTGCCATGTTCAAACAACAGAGTTTATGTTCTGCTTAAGGTTCAGTAAGTTGCTGCCTGAGTTGTGGTTTTGGAAAAGAAGCTGAATTTCTACTTACTGGATCCTTCGGTGACGTTGCTGGTGAATGAACTGCCCCCCACCGAACTGCATCTTTTGCCTTCTTTGAATTGCTGCCTCCTCCTGGCCCACTGGTCTACTGCTTCTTCCTGGGAACCATCACTGGCTCTTCCACCTCTTGGAGCCAATTCCGGGGGTAACTTTTGGAGGCTATTTATTTCCAAATTCCAATCTGGATTAAATCACATTAAGTATGAAAGAGAGACATTTCAAGACAGAATGTCAAATATTCCGGTTTTGAAACATAGAATCATGGTAGATTAGAACTAGAATAATTTCATTCATCTCCTTCATGGTTCATTTTCTAAACTTGTATTATTATTATTATTATTATTATTATTTTTTTAAAAAAGAGCCATGTAGCTTAAGAAACAGATTTATATAGGAAAGCAGGGTGGGGGTGTGTGGAGATCACTTAGCATTTCCTCAGTTGGATACAATTCAACAGGCATTCCTTGGGTATCGGCAGTATGCCTGATACTATATCAGTTACCGTGGAGGGGCAAAGTGTAAGTAAATTGTTAAGTATGTGCCCTAAATTCTCAATAAGAAGATAAGATATTATTACCCAAATTAGTTCAATTACAATCTATGCTAATGAGTTTACTATTGACAGATTTATATAGGAAAGCAGGGTGGGGGTGTGTGGAGATCACTTAGCATTTCCTCAGTTGGATACAATTCAACAGGCATTCCTTGGGTATCGGCAGTATGCCTGATACTATATCAGTTACCGTGGAGGGGCAAAGTGTAAGTAAATTGTTAAGTATGTGCCCTAAATTCTCAATAAGAAGATAAGATATTATTACCCAAATTAGTTCAATTACAATCTATGCTAATGAGTTTACTATTGAACTCACGTACTTAACGGTTTCACTAATCACAACTATACACATTTCATGATGCTTTTTTTGCTGCCTATGTTGGTTCAAAATGAGGAAAAGGAAAAAAATGCCAAAATTCATAAAGGCTTTGCAAATTTTGTGTTCGAAAAAATCACAACGTGAAATATTTTTTATAGTTCCAAACTTCTGCCTTCTGTCATCACAAGTGATGACATTGTGTATTAATAAAAAGAAAGAAAATTACAGAAAAATGACTGAAATACAAACTTTAAGAAAATAACTGAAAAAAGTAAGATTAAAAAAGAAAACGGAAATGGGAGAACATATAATACCAAGAAACTAATTTGATAGGTTAAAATTAGTTAAGATTTTACTTTATTTTACTTTTTGATAGTATACTAAAGGTAAGCAACATAAATTTAAAAAGAGGCCAAGTCTTAACTTTTATTTCCATTCTATTCCCCGCGGTAAATGAGTTTTTACAATTGGGTTTTTTCAAGTTAAAATCTATTTAATCAATATCAAAACTTGTTCTCAGAACTATTTAAATAATAAATGGGATATATCTATGAATAAATAATCTTTATTTTCATATGTAATTATTAATGATCCATTTGCATAGCATTTAAATTCACTTGCCAGGGCCAAACTGGTTGGGAGGAGGAAGAATCATTACCCAGTTCCTCTAACTTTCCATAACTCTGCAGTTAACTCTTACGTCTTCCCTAATAAAGGGGTGACAGGAAAACAAATTTATTCTATAATATTTGGTGTTCACTTTCTACATTCTAATGTCCACTGTGCTTGTTATTGGGACTGCAGTGATGAGCAAGATGATTTTTCATCTCTGGAATTATACAGAATAGTAGAACTTTTAAAAATGCTACAGAACTGACCTCTGACTGTTTTCTTCAGTACTTGTTCTAGTTCCATTATTTGTTGAAAGTGAGAGTCCAGGTTGACTATGAAGGCATCCACCAGAGGGAGAATTTTCTAATGTTAAATATTTTACATGTAATAGCAATTCATTTTTAAATTGTTGGGGGAACTTGGAAATCCTATGAGCCTAGTAAATTGTGTGTGATGGAAATATGTCCTTGTGATACGGTGGGAAAACTTTTCCTCTCAGGTATTCTCATATACTCAAATTAAGAGAAAGTATATGCCCTATGGTCTGTTTTGAAGTGTTATTTGAGAATCGCTGAAACACCTGCCAAGTTGAAAGCATCACTTCCATCGTCCTGCTTGGTTTTTGTGGAATCTCAGGTTTGCAAAGAATATAGAAGGTAATTTGGTTCAGCCACCCTCTATCTGTTAAAAACACTTCTACAAAAAATTCTACCAAGGAGTCATTCAATCTTAGCTTGAACATTTTCCAGACTCAAACTTACTACCTATTTAGTCAGCCTAATCTTTGTTTGTATACTTCAACTTAATAGTAAGTGTATCTCAGAAATCTTTACGTGTAAGTCTCTCAGTCATTCCAAGAATACCCAGTAGATGTTTATCGAGCCATTCTAGGAATCAAGCAATTTCCTTGGGCTGGAATGAAGACACTCTAGTCCCTTGAGAGAGTCTGTTAAAATATATTCTAACATTCTGTAGAAACAATATGTTAATCCATTCAAAACCACAAACATTTTACAAAATGCTATGGTTTGAATTTATGTGTACCCTCAAATGCATATGGTGGGACCTAAGACCTAATGTGATATTATTAAGAGGTGAGGACTTTAGGAGGTGATTAGGTCTTGAGGGTTCTGCCCTCATGAATGGAATTAGTACCCTTTAAAAGGGCAGGAAGATACTAGCTAGGCTCTTTAGCACCCGTCCCCTGCCCCCCCCGCTCCTGCCTTCTGCCATGGGAGAATGAAGCAACAAGGAGCTGTGTTGTAGCAGCAAGAAGGCCCTCACAAGACATCAAATTCCAGTGCCTTGATCTTGGACTTTTCAGCCTCCAGAAATGTAAGAAATAAATTTTTGTTCATTATAAATTACTCAGTCTCTGGTATTTTGTAATAGCAGCATGAACAGACTGAGACACAGAGCTTGATTGGGAAAGTGGAAAGCCACTACCTTGAAAGCCAGAGGGAGGTCTGGGAAGTGAGTGGGAAGACCAAGAAGCAGCAGCAGAACTGGGAGGCGCCCTGCTGGAGGAAAGCACGGGCATCGCAGCAGGACCCGGGCCCTGGGCTGCGCATGTACTGAGAAGTGCTGAAATGGGCACGGGTGTGGAAAGTTCCCAATTTCACCAGAAGTCAGCTTGCTGAAAATTACCCCAACAGTTGTGTTCTGTTTCAAGAAAAGGAATAATTTTCTATTCATCTTTTTATTCTTAGTGCTTGGCACAGAGCTTGGGATGCCAAACTTTCTGAGATCTTCAGTCCTCTATACCTTTTTGCCTTTGTGTGGGCTCTTGGAATCATTCCTTCTTTAGGGGTACAGAGAAATACAATATTTTATACCTTGCACCTAAGTTTTGTGTCATATTACATATAAAAGGCTGTTTAATTATGAATATTTCTATGCCATGTAAAATATCATCTAATCCTTCTTATTATCTGTCATTTTCTCAGGGTGGCCTAGTTTTGGTTTTCTCGTTACAATTTTTTATGATACAATATAGAATTTCTGTTTTTCTGGGCAGAGATCTTAAAGACATATTATGCTCCACTTAAAAACTGAAGAAATGAAGCCTTGAACAATCACCTTTTTAGCCAAGAATGTACAGCCATAGCATTTAAATTCACTTGCCAGGGCCAAACTGGTTGGGAGGAGGAAGAATCATTACCCAGTTCCTCTAACTTTCCATAACTCTGCAGTTAACTCTTACGTCTTCCCTAATAAAGGGGTGACAGGAAAACAAATTTATTCTATAATATTTGGTGTTCACTTTCTACATTCTAATGTCCACTGTGCTTGTTATTGGGACTGCAGTGATGAGCAAGATGATTTTTCATCTCTGGAATTATACAGAATAGTAGAACTTTTAAAAATGCTACAGAACTGACCTCTGACTGTTTTCTTCAGTACTTGTTCTAGTTCCATTATTTGTTGAAAGTGAGAGTCCAGGTTGACTATGAAGGCATCCACCAGAGGGAGAATTTTCTAATGTTAAATATTTTACATGTAATAGCAATTCAGAAGAGTTAGAGGACCCTTTGAAAATGTAGGCACAAGTTTGTGCTTGTATCAAATTTATAATTTTCTGGGGAAACAGTTTAAAGGTGTCCCAGTTCCTCAAAGCAATCTATGTCCTGAAAAGATTACAAAGTAAGAGTTAGAGGACCCTTTGAAAATGTAGGCACAAGTTTGTGCTTGTATCAAATTTATAATTTTCTGGTGAAACAGTTTAAAGGTGTCCCAGTTCCTCAAAGCAATCTATGTCCTGAAAAGATTACAAAGTCCTGGCTTGGATAAAAATACTCATAGCTCTAGGACAGTCAAATCCATGCAAACATTTATAGATTTATAGATTCAAATACCTTGTATTACAAATATTTTAACTGCTGAACTGGTTTTCCTGTTTTTTGGATCATTTGTTTTGGTATGTGAACAGAGTATTACACAAAGAAACCTGATGTGACTTCCCTGTATTCATTCTTTCATTCAACAAATATTCATTGAGCACCTATACTATGGGACAGGCACTGTCTACTGCTGAGGATATAGCAATGATCAAGACAGGAAAAATTCATATCCTTATGGATCTTACATTCTGGTGTGAGAAGACAGAACATAAACAAAATAAACCACTAAAATATACAGCATATTAGAAAGTGAAAAATGCTATTGTAAAAGTAAAACATGGAAAGGGATAGGGTTTGCCTGGGCCAGAGCGAGGATGGCTAAGATTGCAATTTTAAATTGAATGGCCTGAGAAAGCCTTACTGAGAATGTACCTTGTGAACAAAAATCTAAAGGAGATGAGGAGATGAGAATGTGGACATATGGGGGAAGACTGGTCCAAGGAGGGGGAGCAGCCCATGCAGAGGGCCTAATGCGGGATCTTGGCCGGAATGTTCTAGGAACTCAGATAAGTCAAAGTTGCTGAAACAGTGATCAAGGGAAGAGTCGTAGAAACAGCCTTTTAATGAACAATAGCTGGAATTGTTTACCAAATGGGACAATTTAAAGTCTAATGAAGTATAATATTGGCTTTGGGAGGGATTCTGACTCGGACTGTTGGGAGAAGCAGTGCAGGGAGGAGCCCGCCCCTGCAGGAAGGAGGGCCAGCCTGGAGGGCGCACACATCCAGCTGAGCACGGGTCTCCTCTGGGAGGCACGAGTGCTCTTACTGCAGGCTCCCTTGCAGTTCTAAGCAACTATGGACTGAAGCAAATGTTCAGATTAATATCACTGATCCTGATTTCGGGAGGTATATGGGCGCTGGAAAGCAGACGCTGTGACTGATCGTCTTTGCTTTACGGTGTTCATATCGAGCAGGTGACTGTATCGTTTTGGTACTGTTTGGGGGTATATATTCTCTATAAGTCAAATTTCATGTTTTATGCCAACATTTATGTAATCGATGATGACTTTTGTATTTCATTTCTACTCCTACATTTTATTATTTAATTTCACTAAAAAATTTAGGGATAGAACAACAACAAGGAAAAGATAGCTTCTCTGTTAAGTTTTATCATTCCAAATCCCATTTCTGAGGACGTTACAAATGCTATGGGAAGTTCGGAAAGCAGTTCTTCCTCATTCAAGACGTATTTTAATTTACAATATGGAATAATACTAACATTAAATGTAAAATAATTCAGAGTCATTGAAAAATACAACAAAGACCTTCTGTGAAGTGATGAAAATGATATAGTGCTGATCCACGATTGAAAGCAGACAGGCAGTATTATGTACTTAGGAAAGAGCTTCCATCTTAGTCCTTCTTGAGGTCTACAAAGAGTCTGGGTTCTATCAACGGTTTGAGCAGAGCCAACCAATGCACATGGGAGGTCACAGGTCCCATGGATGGCTCAGTTAGGATTAGCCATGGTCGTTTCTGGTTTTTGTCCTTTGCTTTAATTGCTATTCTACATGGTCTCCTGAGACATGCATACCATGCTTCTGCAACACCACAGCAGGGCTTAAAAACACATTTTATTATAAACATCTTCTTCCTATTTTTCTAAACTTGCTTAGCTTGCAAGAAGGAGAAAAATGGTGGGTTATTTAAGAGTGGCAAAAGGCTAACATTTCCTACAAAATTGATTTGGCAATACATCAACCTTTTAAAGAGAAATTGATTTTTTAAAAAACTTTATATTAAACTGCAGCCTTGGTGACTTTGCAATGCACTATTTATGGGTGGAGTGGGTGATAATGCAAAGAAGCAGGCTGATATATGCTTGCCCATGTTTCTCTAACTCTAAAATACTTAATATATTTTTAGCAATAAAGAAAAAATCCCAAGCAATAAAAAAAGCCCTCACCTTAAGACTTTCCAAAGCTCAAACATGCAAAAATAATAAAGTTAAAGATTTTGTATAGCCCACTGTACCTTTCAAAGCCTTCTGTTTCTGAGGTGACAGCAATATGTCTATTTGGTGATAGTAATTTTCGTTTGAGTCATTTTTGTTCTCATCTTCAGAATTTGACCTTGTTGATGAAATCCTTTGGCATTCTGCTGGCTCCTGTTTGCAACTGGTTAGTCCAAGCCTTTTTTCATCTTGGTTGCCGTACTGGTCTGCAACATTGGTCAGTGTTTTCTCAAAAAGAAACAGATTATCTGTAGCACACACTGCACAGTTAGATTCAGCAGTGTTTGGTGGAAAATCCATTTGGAAACAGACTTCATCATGATTCTCATTTGATAGGTTTTCAAAATCTCTGTGGCATTCATTCTTTGCCACTGGTGTTAACTGGCATTTGTCTTTTTCAACATTTCTCAGAGAGCTGGGTGACTCTTTAGAGTTTTTCATCCCCATGGGACAATTAGAATCAACTGTATCTTCTTTATTGTTTTGAGTAATTAATCTTTGCTCTAACTCATCAGTTAGGAAGGTCATAACTGGTACTTTTGTTTCACTGGGGGCTGCTGTCTCTGGGTGACTTGCCTGGGACTCCATTTGGTCCCATTCCTCAGTGCTATGGCTAACACTGTTGAGGGGACTCTCAGCAGCTAGGCTGCTGCAGGATATAGGCATTGGGGTTAGACACTGTGTTCTCTTTCTTGCCAATAGTTGCTGTGCTTTCATGTGAGAATCACTATTTAAAACGGCTTTGATAAGGTTTCTGTCAGTCACATCAGCATGCTCTCTCTCATAGTCTATCACAGATTCAGCATAGTGTTGAAAGGAAAATGTATTTCCAGAGGTTTCCTTAGATTCTGAATGTCTGGTGGTCCAGTGAGATGGGCTGAATGAAGTAGAAGATTTCAGAGCATTTCGACTGGAAGGGAAAGATACAGAATTTGAGTTTTCACAACATTCTGCAGGTGGAGTTTCGCTGCCTTTGCAATAGATGTTGGCTCCCTTTTCTCCTAAGAGCTGCATGCTCAGAGAAGACAAAGAACAAAAGTTGGAGTCTTTACCATCTTGAACTGGAAAGATGTTGGTAATGGTACTTGGCAAATAATTTATTCCTTTTGTGCTTTGCTGCATATGTGAGTTTGATGTGATATTTTCTGGAATATCAAAGTTGATTTTTCTCTCTTTATCCACATCCTTAGGATCCTCAAAAGGCATTTTACTTAAATCTGTATTACTTAAGCTTGTGGTCTTTAGGGTATCATGTGAGTTAGAAGGAATGTTTTTGAGAAGAGTCTCAGCCTCAGAGAAATGTTTCTTTCTGGGAGTGTTCTGATTAATTTTAAAGACCTTCTGCTGACAGATGGCAGATTCTACTTTGCAATCATCTAAGACTGAAGATAGTGTGTCAGGATTATTTTTCCCTTTCTCTGGAGTTGAAGTTAGAGAAACCACAACTGTATCAAAATTCTCCTCCTTCTGGACAGCAAACACAATAGGAGAAGAGCCATGGAAACAATCTGAATTCTGATGCTTGTTTTTAAGCTGCCGCTTTTCAGGGTCCCTAATACCAGACTGTGAGGGAGAACTGGAAGATTCTTTAGTGGTGTGACTGGAGGGAGTGTTTCTGTATTTAGTTATTTTTCTCCTTCTTTTAGGATGAGTTATATTAATCAATATATTCTGTTTATTACTCATATATTTAACTTTAGTTTCTTTCCCTGCAATGCTTATTTTCAGTGAGGGAATCTCAGTTCTGGCAATTTTTTCTTTATATTTAGATGGCACCTTAGGTTTTAATTCTACAAATATATTCTTGTTTTTAGGAAAGTAGTTCCTAAAACTACAGTGATATTTTGGATACCTATTTTTTGTTGGGAACTGTATTCCTGTTTTACAGGAAAAGCTTTTTTTGATTTCTATTTGTACATCGAAAGCCCCACACTTTACTTCTGTAATAAATTTGCCTTTTGCTGGTTTAATAGCTTCTACTGTGCTTGGGAAATCCTGCAGTGTAATTTTTCCTGATAGTGATTCTTCACAGTCATTAAACATGACCACTGGTAAGATTTTCTTTAGTTGATGAGAGATGGTCAAAGGAGAGTCATCATTTTCCTTTCCTCTATGTATTTTGCTGTCAGATGGAGGTTGTTTCTTATCTTTAGGGAGAAAAGAGGAATTCTGCTTTCCATTTATGGAAGCAGACATATGCTCATCTCCATTTTCCTTAGATTTCCCTACTGCCCCAGTCTGATGAAACACAGCCTCTGAGGTGTCTCCTTTGACTTCCTTTTCACGATCTTTTATATTTTTTTGGCATGTCTGACCAGCAGGCTGAGATGTACCTAAAGATGAAGGAAAAAAAAAAGTTTTCTGTGTCTACTTAGAGAGCAGATGTTCCAAATTCCAGGATTAAATGTAATGATGCATATCCTTTGTTAGGATTTTGGGTAAAAGTTTTCATTCATTTCTAGTATGTCAAGGTATTTTCCACAAAAGTTCATTTCTAATAAATATCTTATTTAAAATAAATTATCTTGGAGTACAGAATATCACCTGTTGATTTTAGGAAGTAAGAATTTAAGTTTTACTCTAAAAGAACAACTTCTAAAAGTGGGTAAAATAAAAATTTCAGAAGGAATGCATACAAGTACATTTTAAATGCAACTTCTTGTCAAAGAGCGAGTTGCCACGAGTAGGTTTGAACATGGCATTATAAGGAGGCTAAATCAGTTATAATATAATTTGAGATGGTGTTGCAAATAATGATGTGGATGAAGAGGAGGGAAGAGACCTACAGATGGTGTCTAGATGCCTTTCAAACAGGTAAGATAATTTCCTTTGCCTCGGGCTTTTTAGAGGATGGCTTCACAAACTCAAATGCCTGTGACATATGGCAGGTAACATCAACTAGTGGAGCAGGCTGGGTACATATACTCTGCTGTTCAGCTACAGCCAGTACTTGCCCCATGTCTTTGTGTTGCTAGATCCTCTCATTTTCCAGGAGAGAACTAGAGTCTCAATTCATTACACTGTGAAATCTTCTAATTTCTGAGGATTGGCTCAGATGTTTAGAAACCCACTGTAGGTGGAGGTCGATGTATTTAGAACTAACTAGGTTTGGCCCAACTGCTGGCTTGCACCCTGTGTTCCTCTGCTTTGTAATGTTAAAATAGTTTACTGTTAGAAATTTGTGAACCTGAGCATGATGTTCCAGATTTTGTGTAAAAAACGATGGGTGAAGTACAAAGATCTCAAATTCTATTTTCAGCTATATCTGAAAGAGATTATTTGTTAATGATATCATAGAAATCAAAGAACCAAGTGTTTCCAAGGATATTTTTAATAAGTTGATTGAGCTAAAAACTGGAAAGGATTATTTATGAATTTATTTTAAATGTTCTTAATTTAAACATTGTTTTTGTATATACTACTGTATTTTTATATAAATTACTTTATATAAAAATAC